TTTTTTTTTTCTTCTTCTTCCTTTTCCCTGTGGAACGTGGCTGATTCAGGTTAAGGTGGTTTCGTTTAGTTGGAGATGAGAGAGTTTAGAGAACTTCCCATCATTTCAGGAAATGCCTTCCCATTTTTTGTTGTGTCCCGCCTCTTTCTAGGTGAAGGTGACATGCTGATCGGAAGCATTTGTCAGTATTTCTTAGCTGCAACAGTTGCTTCAAGTGAGGCACACAGGGCGCACCTCAGTCCAATCGTCCTCGGACTGTTTGAATTTGAGGACGCTATTGTAGCAGTGCCGACAGAGTCTCAAGTAAGTGAATAGCATTCAGTCACTGCCGGTGTCTCTTTGGCACGCCAGTTTTGCTGTCGTAAAATTCCTAACAAAAGCTGCAACTAAGCAGACCTCATTTCTTGAACACCAGCAATTCTAGTAGCTGAAAACACTTTGTGATCTTCAGCTGCAGTGCATAGAGAAATAGGTATTATAAGGCTATGCTTTGACACTGCCATTCGCTTTGGCTGGACGACTTTATCTAACTCTAAAAATATTTTTAAATCTCCCAAAGGAAACAGTACCTTTTAGAAAAAGAACTTTAATGATCATATAATTAAATGGATGATATGTTTCATTGTATTATAAAGTCTTTAATTGTGATGATTTCCTGGAAACAATTCTTCAAATCTCATTTAGTACTAGATTCTAAAAAGAAGTATATTTCCAAAAGCTGAATTAGCAGTATCACCTGAAATGCTAATATAATGTTATAATTCAGAATTACTACAGTACATTTACTGTATTTTATTATTTTAGTTGTGGCTTTGCTATGCTATTTTAAAAAAATTGGGTGGGCTTATGAGTTTCACCTATTTAATATCGGAAAGTCTTTTAACTTTTAGGACTACCAGTGATCCTAGAACACACCCTCCAAACAAACTTTTTCTGTACCCATTCAAATACCAATCTGCATATTGTTGATACAGTAAGCTTCTGCCTTATGAAGATGTGTGATTTCTACCTGCATAAGAATACTGGAAAGTGATGTTTTGTCAGTGGGGTGATTTACTGCAAGAATTACTAGTAATATTGTTGTGTGTTATTCTTTGACCAGCTTTCTCGTGTTCCAGAATTTTACTTTTTTGAGTAGCAAACTATGTTTCTAACGTTAGCTCACAGAACCTATTTTGGTGGTGATTGCATTGGTGCAATATCTGATAGGTGAAGAATGCAGTGAGTAAATTTGATGAGGAGAAGTAGACCTTCAGGTGATCTTTGCTCTATTTATCATGCCATGAATAAACGTTTTCCTATTAATTCTATAAAATGCGTGATGGCATTCACTGTTATCATTCTTTTTACAGTCAGTATTGTTGCATTTGGTGAATTTTAAGTACATAAGAGAATAACCCTAATTACATTCATCTCGAATGATTGCTTAGAAAGGTCAGCATACAGGACAGTCATTTTTGGGTAACAAAAGGTTGTGCACATAATGCAGCATTATTCATTTTTCAGTGGAAGAAATCAATCTGGGAAATCAACAGAATCACAGAATATTCTGAGCTGAAAGGGACCCACAACTGAGTATGTTAATTGAAGTAATTTCTGTGTAATCTGTAAGTTCTTTGACTTTAAAAATGCTGCACAGACTGTTTAAAATGAAAGTATGCTGGAAATTTTCTCAGACAGAAAATGGCCAGGGAAGACTTTGACAAAGACAGCTGAGATTCAGTTGCTCAGAGGTCATTGTAGGGGAGCAGGTATTTGTAATTCTTCACTGAAATGTTTTTGCTTTAATCCAGCCTGGTTTTTCAGTCTTCCCACAACAGACCCAGAATTGTTTGTTCTAAGGGAGTATTTCATCCCAGCCTTTTGTCCAAAGCTCAAAGACAGAGCATGTTTTTTGACAGCTCTAATATGAGGCACTCTTTCTGTCTTTCTACAGTCTTTTTAATATCCCAGAAAAAAAATTGCAGTTTAATAGGAGGGTCTTTTCCAGCTATAAAGTTAGTTTTTGCTACTCAATTAAGTCTCTTCAGGTTGAATTCTGTGCTGAAAGGAAGTTACTAAGAAACGCTACTCCCTTCAGAGCTGACCTGAAAAAATCTGATGACTTGATTCCAACATTATATGTCTTACGTGACAAACAAATAAAAGTCCCTAGAAGCACGAGCTAAATGATCATCCAGTGAACAATTTTTTTCCTTCTTTTCTGCCTTTCTGGGTCTGAAAAGTGCTCATCTTAGAAATGAGATCTTTTTGGGATCAGTACTATCACTGACTGTATTTTTACCCTGCTTAGTAAAACTGGATAGCTTTTTGTTATGTATCTGGTTTCTTGGCAAGCAGATACTAGTGGCCCTGCAGCTCAGCAGTCTATCAGAGACAGTTTAAGTCATGAAGAAAATGACTGCTCTGTTGGCCAGTTTGTATAATTAATTTTCTTTGGACAGTATGTAAGAATAGTTGTTGTGGAATTGTCCCAGGGCTCATCTAGTGTAGGATCTTCTTTCCATTAGTAGCTGTTAGCAGGCAAGCCCAGGAACAGAGCTTGATTCAGGACTGGCAACTAAACCATATAAGCTAATGCTTTTCAGATCACATTTTGAAAATTTGCATTGCCCTGTGAAGGGATGATTGTGCCTCAGGAATTTGAGAGACTTCTGATGATTCTCTTTACCGGAGCTCTCCTTGAAGAAATAGTATCACCAAAGAAGTACTACTACTATCACAGAAAAGGAGTAACAGTGTAACTGTTCCTAAAATAACTTATAGTAAGGTGTGTTCATTACTTACAGAAACATGTATTGTGATGCTACTGAGTGTTGCCATACTTCATGTGTCTCAGCTGAGAGATGTATGAGGTGTCGGAGTGCCGTCTGCTGCAACTTGAGGCCTGTTACAGCCTGTTTTTCTGCTTGTTGTAGCTCCCTTGCCACTTGGGGTCAGTCTGATTTTGTCACTGAGATGGCAGCTGAAGTGGTGGTAATGCTAAAACATCCGGCCCCTCTGCTGGTTCTCCTTTTTCCCCCCATGTTTGCAGTTGGCAGGCATGCTATAGTCAGGCAGGTGCACTACGAGGAAGCACTTATGTGGAACAAAGCAGGATAAAAGGGGGTGTAACAAACCCCAATTTTGCTTTCTGGAGAGGAGTTTGGGATGAGCAGGTAGAGCCACTGAGCTGTTGGTGGAGGAGGAGGGCACTAGCAGAAAGAGGCAATGCAAAGCAAGTCACAGACTAGTGTTTCAGCATGGAGCTTCAGTGTGCAGTTTTGGCATATTGCCTTTCTGTGCTGAAAGAGCAAGCTTGCCTAACAGCACCATCTAGCGAGTCCTGCAGTGGAACAGGTGGAGGATCAGAAGTAGCCTGTATCGCGAGGTCCCGTTCCTCACATTTGGAATTGTAGAATCATTTATGTTGGAAAAGACCTTCAAGATCATTAAGTCCAACTGTTTATCCAACAATGCCAGGTCCACAACTAAGGCAATGATATAATGTAATCTATTCAGTAGATTTATAAATATGTAGATACATATATATAGATACATATATAGATCTTCAGCGACTCTATGAGAAGGGGCTTTATAACAGCTGCTTTCTGCCTCAGCTAAAGTTCATCAAAAAATCACAGAAGACCTTGTTGGGTTAAAAAAATTAACCTTTAGGGGTTATATGTACTTTAGGGGAATAACCCTAGAGTTTAACCTGGGCTAAAATCACCTTAACTGCAGAATGCAATTAAAAGGGGTAAGTAAACAGAATTACACATGCCCAAGAGGAGAAGTGCAGAAATAAAGGGCACTGTTCACAGAGAAAGTGGTATATTTGGCCTTATGCACTGGAAGCCACACAAGAGAATACTTTACAGATGCTGTATTTTCCTGTGTAATTATGCTCTTTATTTGATGGTGTCTACATGTGTGTATATTCCTTAGAAACACTCCAACTTTTCTAAAAGGAAAGAAAATTAATCTTAAATATAGAAAACTGGTATTTACTTAGTGTTTTACTTTGGCATTGCACCTTTTTCTTGCAGTTTCTATCGTAATGAAGTGTAGCTGTAGTCATTTGATGTTATTTGTAGTGCTTGAGTCTTGTTAGTTCAGATACATATTGTGGACTAATACTCACGTTATCTGTGTTTTCCTTGGCACAGTGTTGTCTGCAACACTACTTGCCTGGGAACTGGAGCAAGGAGAGGTCTGAGAGAGTCAAGGCAAAAGTGAATGTAAAAAACAGCTTTTGGCTTTTATTCCTCAGTCTCCCGCACTCTGCTAATAACATGTAAAGAGCAGTTCGTGTTGCAGCTCTGCAGCATGATTAGAGTGGAGCAACAGTTCTGTGTTAGAACTGTGCTAGAGTGGAAGCACATTTATTCTTTAAAAAGCATAATTGAGTTTCTGAAAGCTACATAATAAGTGAGACTGCAAGGAGCTGCAGAATGCAGTCTTAGTGTAGATAATGACCCACGTTTTGTACTCAGGAAAAAGATCCAAGGTAGTTGTGTCTGGCTGACTTTCAGGCATAGAGCCTGTTTCAAGAAAAATCTTTCAATTAGAAAATGAAACTTCAGCTTTGACTTCAGCTTAGATTCTTTCATCCCCTTTGTTTGGTGAAGTGTCAGTGCAGGCTGCTGGATTGCTGGTGATCCTCACAGAACAGACAAACTTATAGATGCTTCTGAAGATGTAATATGCAAAAAAATCAGTATTTGAACAAGGCAGATTTTATCTATGAAGAATGGCCAAGCTGAACTAAACTAAGGATTTATCTATCTGCTCTTGTGCCTGAGAGTAGCAAGTAGCAGACTGCTAAGGAGGAAGTAATACATTAAGCCTTGTTTCTTGTAGCAGGTCACTGCAATACAGTATACCATGTATACTGTATTGTATACATGGTATACAATACCATGTATACTGTCCATGGTTTAGGGAATTGCTAAGCCATGGGCTGTAGCCTCATTTTTGCCTTTAACAGTCCTTGGAAGGCTTTTCTTCCCTTACTTATTTTAAATCAATGTGATTATTTGTTGAACTCCTGTACACTTTTGCTGCTACAGAATTTTGAAGCAGAGTTTCACATTTTTAATATGCAGTGTACATAAAGGTTTTGTAATGGGTGATCATTTAATTCAATTTATTATGTCAAATGAATTTATCTTTGTTTACTAGTCTGCATGATTTTCTTTCAAGAGTTCAGAGTGTGTTGAAAAATGCGTCTTTCACTGCAACAAGAAAAGAATTGTAATTGCAAATGCAGCTAGATAACAAATAGGTATTTGTAGAACTTCTGAGATGATCTGCATACATGAGGAGTCTTACTTTCCTTTACCTTGCCTGCTGACATTTACTGTCTGCTTGCAAGTGGAATCTGCATGAGTGAGAGCACAAAAGGGTAGGTGCCAAAAATCTCTAGTAAAAAGCTGGGGGAGGGGGTGCATGTGTCTTGAACTTCGACTGCAAAGTAAAGCAGAAATCCACTTGGGCTTGACATGCCTAACATTTTCTAGGAGTTATATGCAGACAAATCTAACTCCCAAACTGGTAATTCTTGAATGCAAACTCAGCGTATTCCGTCTTGGGATGTATGCGCTCCAGACCAAAGATACGTGTCAGGAGCTTTTAAATTTTGTCACCTGTGGCCAGGTGTGGCTTCAGGTTGTGAGTTTTCATCCATCTTCTGCCTTCTGTGGTTTGGAAAATAGAGGGTTGTGGACAAACACCAATTGGTGTGGCACCCTGTGGTCACTGTGGGGTACAGCACTCACATTAGATGATTTTTATTTCAGCACCCACAGCTACCAATGTTTGCATCTCCTCCTTTTAGGGGATAGAAAACCTTGTAATGTTAAATTGAAATAGAAATACAGTTGAGGGAGTCAGAAACTTTTTTTTTTTCTTATTTTTTTAGTGCAGTGTTTACCAGTGTTCAGTTTGAGGGCCTTGTGTATTTTGTAGTTTTGTTTTGTTTTTTTTTTAATCCAAGGGTTGAGCTGCATCAACCCAAGGTTTTCTTCAAAATTGAACATTTACTTGTTTTCTTATTTCTGCAGTGGTCTTACTGTCACACATTACTTCCTTTTTTTTCCCAACAGTTGTCACCTGCAGTGATCATCCCCAAGTGCAGCTGATTAAGGAAGCAGTTAATGCCACTTACATACATGCACATTTGAAGAAAGGTTTTACTAATGCAAGACTTTGTATTGCCTAAGTTGTGTTGTATTGTTATTGTGCCACAGGAGCAATGGTTGACCAGTATCTCCCTTCTCTTTTTCAGCTTTTTTCATTACTCTTCCTCGGTGAGAATGGCAAGGATTCGGATTCCTAGCACAATTGTTATAATTTTTGTTACAGTTCAGACTGGATTCTTACTCTTCATGTATGCCCGGTACAGTAGCTTCATGCCTCAGTCTGAGGAGAAACCATCACAAGTCCACATACTTATTCTCTCCTCTTGGCGGTCAGGATCTTCTTTTGTTGGTCAACTTTTCAGCCAGCACCCCAGTGTCTTCTACCTGATGGAGCCTGCATGGCACGTGTGGGTTACAATGTACCAGAACAGTGCCAAAGTCTTACACATGGCAGTGCGGGATTTAGTCAGGTCGGTCTTTCTGTGTGACATGTCTGTGTTTGATGCTTACATGCCTTGGAAAAGAAACTTATCTGATCTTTTCCAGTGGGCAGCAAGTCGGGCTCTGTGTTCAGCTCCTGCTTGTGACTCTTTTCAACGTACCGACATAACCAGTGAACTGGCATGCAAGACTCTTTGTGGACGGTATCCATTCAGCAAGGTGGAGGAAGCCTGTAAAACTTACAGCCATGTTGTCATCAAGGAAGTTAGATTCTTTGACTTGAAGGTCCTATACCCCCTCCTCACTGATCCATCCCTGAATCTCAAAATTATTCACCTGGTCCGTGACCCCAGGGCAGTCGTTAAGTCACGGGAACAATCCGTGAAAGCGTTAGCCCGTGACAATGGAATTGTCTTGAGTACCAATGGCACTAAAGTGGAAGATAGCAAATACAAAGTAATGCAAGAGGTTTGTAGAAGTCATGTTCAGATTTATGAAACAGCAACTCTAAAACCACCTAATTTCCTGAAAGATCGCTATTTAATGGTCCGTTTTGAAGATCTGGTAAGAGATCCATTATCAGAAATCTCAGAAATGTATAAATTTGCAGATCTTAGTTTGACTCCTAGGCTCAAAAGCTGGGTTTATAATATCACTCATGGACAGGGACCGGGGAAAAAAAAAGAAGCCTTCAAAATAACATCCCGAGATGCAGTTAGTGTTTCACAGGCCTGGAGAAATGTTCTTTCCTTTCAGAAAGTTAAGAAAATACAGGAAGTTTGCAAAGGGGCTATAAGCAGTCTTGGTTATCAGCTAGTGGATTCAGAAAAAGAACAAAGAGATCTGACATTAGATCTGGTGTTGCCAAGACGACAAAATCAATTCAGCTGGTCATCATTTAATCCAAAGCACTGAGACATTTTTGAGAGATCTGGGGAGTTGGGGCAAGGTAGTTGTTTGAATATTTCTATACTGCACAGCATATAGTAATTGGAAAATCCTTGGCTGATGACTTTATCTTTTCGTCTGCTCCTTTTCTGTTAATGTAAGAAGTTTTTTTTCCCCTGAGTTTTTTACATATTAAAAAAAAAAAAGACAGCATGATACTTTGTCAGCCTGTTACTGTGCTGCTCACAGCATTGTTTTAAGAATATAATTTAAGCACTTTCTATTAAAAGATGGATTCTCAAAGATGTCTGTTTATTGATAATACTTCGCTTCTTTTTTTCATGCTTTAAGTATTTAAGAATCACAGTTCTTTATTTGTATATATGGAACAAAGTAAATAGTAAATTCCTTCACTTGACTTTCTTCTTTAAAGTTGTTTTGCAGTTGTATATTTTTTTTCAGACTTCTTTTGATGTTTTCAGTCTTACCATACAAGTTTTCCAAAAGGTGGGGCAACTGCAGCAGCTGTGTTGTAAAAGGCTTAAATGGAAACTTCATTTATTGATAGATTTCATAGGGGTTTATTTGGAATGGCAATATTTACAATCAGATACTTGAATGTAATGTTTGCTTGGATTGCAAGAACCAAAGGATATGAAGAAACTTTCAGTGGAATCACAGTGGAAATAGCGTTTTAATGCTGTCCCTGTTGTGTTCTAATACTGTGACAAAGAATAAGTGCACGCTTGGTCCTGCCACCGCACTCCATACCGTTATCCTCTCTCTGTACAACTATAAGCAATTTGTGAAGATCACTTCGCAAATTTTCAAGCCTTGAAAATTTGCGTATCGATTATATTGCTGCATGGAAGTGATCCGTTCAACTTCGATAGCAGAGACAGATGCTCGTGTACGCTTAATATTCGGTGCTGCGCCCGAGAAACCCTGGGGCACCGGTGGTGCTCCAGCACCGCGCGGGCGCAGACGCTCTGTATGAGCGCGGGTGGGGGCC